GGTTATAAACTGGAAAGGCAGCGTGCTTGGGTAGTCAATTTATGCCACAAAGTCGCATTTTTTAAAATACTTTCGGAAGGTAAACAGAATGATATGCCTATTAATTTCGCCATTTGGAAGGTGCAAACTAAAGACAACATCCCATTCGGGGAGACAGCTTTTCCAAGAGATGATCTGCTCCAGACTAAACAGACAATTATATTGAATCGGTTTGTCTAAAGGCAAACAGGCAGGACTTCAAATGAGCTTCTGGTAACGAAGGCAGGATAAGTGAAACTGACTTCGCTTGGTTCTTGTTACAGCTTACACACAGACTGAAACGAACAAGAAATCGCTAGTGCATTATCATAAAACTAGGTCTCTGTTAATTCAATTGTGTTCGACAATCGCCAAAAAAGTTGGCAGATAAGATACGTTTCCATAAATGAATTGTGGGATCGTCCCTTCATTACTGTTTTTATATTTTTAAATATCGTTAAGAAGCTTCACTTTTATTTTAATGCAAAAAAATTAGGTTCCTTATATAGCATGATATACCATGATAGACATGACATCTTGCAGAATTTTCAGCATGGATTTGGATGAGGGTATTCCTACCTTACAAACTAAGGTACAAAGAAGTGAGCTTACTTTGGCTTACAAGATAATACACGGCTACGAGCAATGATAACCATTTGAGAACATGTTGTAGCGGCACTTCTCACCCCATTTTCTTGAACGTATAAGTAAGCACGCATTATAATGTCTTAGCTAAATCTACGCTCTGAATTCTTAACGTTATGGGTAATAAAACAATTCAGTAAACTTCCAGAGTCAGACGCCGAAACGACGTCGATATAGCACTTAACAAAATGCTTGGATAAGTATATAGGTCCCCTGTTGTCCCTCGACGAACTGGACTCGGACTAATAATACACAAACTCCATACAACAGTTATTTGTCAACAAAATTCTCCTCATAATTTGTTAATACCATTCTAAAAGTTACAGTTTTTTAAGCGTGCCTGTACAAATTTATATGATGCGCTGGAATGTAAACAGTAGGGTTCTCAAATAAGCTGAAATATTCGTTGCTTTCCAACCTGACTAATATGCTTACCCGCCGAGGCTTAATGCACCATTGGGGAGGCTGAAAACCCATTTAATAAAGTTCCTGTTTAATATCCACGCGTCTGCTCACATCAAATAATCGTTCACCGACAGACTTTCAAACCGTTTTCCCCAAGAGAATGAAAATCACATGATAAGGTAGTACAACATCGCAACTGGCGTTTATACAGTAGCAACTTCATGGGAAGCGCTGGCGGATCCCTTGGTGAGTGGATAACCTCGCAGTTATACCAGGTCTGTTTGGCTTTTAACAATGGGGTCATTCGAGGAGCGAGTACAGTTGGAAACTTCTAATATGATGTAAATGAAGCCGATATATCGACCTCATATAGAACACTTAGTCATCCGAAAACATTGATTGGCCTGCAAAACCAACTGCAGGTTAATAAAAACTACTAGCAAGTACAATTGTGCCCGTCAATTTTATCTCATCTTTGAGTTTTCCAACACTATGAATAAGCACCTGATTCCTTTGCTCGATTTGTCTCTCCTTGTTTCTTAAAAGTGCCAACGCCAAATAGTGTCAGCAAATGATATAGGGAAGTCAAATGATACTTATTGCCAAGTGAGTTGCTGTTACTTTTGCTGATATCTTTTCGCAAACCTGGAACGGTGTAGGCACTCGTATTGCAACAACATATATCAATATAAGAGATAGAGGGATGTGGCGTATTAATTATCTACAAAACGCTGCTTACAAAACAATCTTCCAGCTTTAGATACGTTTAAAAGTAAATCGGTAGAAAGCGTCGTGTTCTGGGAATTTAACAAGTGAATCATGTGTATCATTCACTGGGCTGAAGCAACTCTTACATCAGGGCTTAAAAGAGAAAAAATATGACAAGTTTAAAGGACGAAAGATGTAAAAGGTGCCAATGACACTATTTGCCCGTGTCCGGCAAATTCAAACAACATGCAATGGCTACCTCACAGAATTGGATCCCGCGCACAGAGTTGCCTTGGTGATTTATTCTCGGGGACCAGAGCGCGATGCCCATAAGGTTGGGAATGACGAGCACAATCAGACCTGAGACGCCTGATTTTGCAGGGAGACCAACCTAAAGAGACAAGATAAGATCCACTAAGTACACATTAAAGTTGTTTATATGTGCCTTTCAGTTAGGACTGCCAAGGCTACAATAAAGCATGTTCTGGTTATTTCGGAATCTATGTCCTAAAAAATCCATTCAAAGACGACCAAAGTGCTTCCGAATAAAAAGGAGTCAAAGGTCGAGGAAGCTAAAAGTATATTTGAATACAAAAGTCTACTGTTTACGAAACAGTACAATAATGGCTTAGCATGAAAATAATATCGATCGAAATCCCACTTGCTGTGGTATTCCCACAACTGTCCGCATAGACGAAAGCTGTAAAAAAATCAACTTTACTGCAGTGGATTTTAATGAATCAATTTGCAGTGCTATCAACGATTTGGTTTCTGACTCGAAACTTTAAGAGTACAACTTTACCTCCTTCAAAAGAACCGTCTACGTTTTATTTCTGCATTTACGATGGCTTGTCTAGAATTTTGCTACAGTCTTAGCATCGAAAGCCAGATCTCTACTGGTTGTCTTTTACTCGGGCAAAACTCCCTTTCTTGTTGAGGAATGTTCACCAACCGCTAAGGGACTCACTTGTCCCGCTTCGCCTTTGCTATGGGCCTCATTTCGCGGGCTCTGACAGCAGCAGTAGCAGTGAGTAGTGTAGGCAGATAATTTTGCCGGTGATAAAAAAAAGGAGACTGGAATGACCATTTCTAGCTTATTAGCCGTCGTCAGCCCGTCATACCCAGACTCAGCTGGCGCAACAGCCGCTCCTCGAGCTTGCAACCTTTACATCAGTGTCTAACGCAAGCCCCAAGCTCATTTTCTTGCCATTTTAGGTCGGGAGATATTGACACTTATTGGTAAACGTTCAGCGACCGCTGACGGAACTCACTTGTACTTCATTTCTCGCGTCCTGACAGCAGCTGTAGCACCTAGCTATTTCTGGCTTATTAGCCGTCGTCAGTGTTAGGATATTAGCCGGACCAAATGCTAGCAACGTTTGGAGGCTTTCATAAGGCGTCGAGCGTAGCCAAATGTATTTGTTTGTTAGCTCTGACCGCAAACAGGCGATGACTGTCCACGCGAGATGACCTTAACCTCTGGAGAGG